TGACCTCAGTGTCAATGAGAGCTGCACTGGATCTCACCAAAGCTGATGTCAGCTATTTGCACCTTGAATATTTTCACCAGCTGGATCCTCAGTTTGTTTCCATTTTAAAGCTGGAAATCAGCAGCTTAGTTTTTTTCCAGAGCTCCATTTGTTTCTTTCCTGATTAGAAGAGATGATAGAAAGGAATGAAAATCTGTCTCTGTTCACAAGGTCACTGCAAAGCCTCCAGGGCTGCTCAGGCCTTCCAAACCAAAGCAGCCTTCAGAGGATCCACTTGCTTTTTGAATGATTTGTGCCATCCCTCTGCTCCAAGCGATCCCACTTATTTTCTCTGCTTTTTATTTCCCCTCACACCAACATATTTTCCATGCCAAGACATTTCACAACATACCAAACTTTTTCTGCAATTTTGTATATATAATTCTGTATTTATAATAAAGCAAAGCACAAGAGCCTTTCATTACTACTCCTGCCTTTAAGATGTGGAGCTGGGATATGACTTCATCCTAGAAAAAATGCACACCCAAACCCAAACCAGTTGTCTCCTGGGGTTTTCTTAGCTTTTAGCTCATCATAAACATTTTGTGTGGTTTCAGTAACCGTGCCTAAACCAGACTGCATCAGGGTCAGCAGTACAAAACTAAGACACAGGATTTACTGAGATAGAAAGTTTGCACAGCTACTTAAATGTGTAAAATGATGTTTCTCATGGCTGTCAGGGAAACAGAAGCAAAACAGCCAAACAATGAAGCAGTAAGAGGGGAAAATGAATGACAGGAGCTTATTGGGCAAGCCCACTCTCTGACAGTGTTTCGTTCACACTGACTGAATTATTACAAAATAGAAAATAACCCTCACATACCCACATAAGACAAAAAAACACAATTTGCTGCAGCAATTGCTGAACACTTGAAATCCTCTATTACCAATTTCTTTCAAAGTTTTAATACATAAAGGACATATTTCTATAATATTAGAATTTTTTCCTTTGGTTTCTAACACTCAGTTTGGGTAATTAGAATGAAAAGAGTTTATCCAGAAGCAGCAAAGAGACATTTCCAAAACAACACCCACACAAAGGAAGTTTTCTACTTCTCTTTTGCCTTAATAAATACTTGTTGTAATGGATTTAAAATATTTTTGCAGGAAGTTGTTTTATCCTCATGGGATTGATTTAAAACAAATTCATGTATTGTACAGAGGAGAGTTATGAGTAGGGAGAGATGTGAGGAAAGAAATGCTCGATAAACAGAATCAAGGTGCTGGCATTTGAACTATTCAGTTTAAATAGGATTAAACCATCACATTTCACACTCCAAGCACACGTGAAGCGTTTCATGTTCAAGCAGCATTCTCAGCTAGAGCTTTCCTCCACAAATCCTTAAAGGTTTTACAGTGGTCTAGCTAAACACTGCACTGATTTTAGAGGTGGCAAAGTTCTTCACACGTGGAGGTGAGCAGCCTACTCCAAGCTGCCTCAATCTGCTCCCAGGGACAGGACAGCTGCCCAAGGTCTGAGGCGAGGCAGGTGCTCTGCGGGCCTCGAGTCAGGTGGAACAGAGATTTCCAGGGCTCAGGAATAGTTATGGATACGCTCTCTGACACAAGCAGTGGCTCTCGCAGCCTGCACGTGGAGAGTACAGTTACTGCTGTATGAAAAACCCCTCCTGTGACACTAACTGGGGACAGAACCTTCAGGATGTGTGCTCTGTGCTGAACGGGGCCAGGAAGTGGATCTTTATATGCCATATAGATCTGCCACTACACAATTATTTAAAGTGTAGGAATGCATCTACATTTTAGACCCCAAGCAACAAAACAAGAAAGAAGCAAAATGTTCCAGTATTGTGGTGGAGACATACACAGCAGCAGGTGACTAGCACTTTGGTTTTGTGCAGTGAAAGCTCAGGACTGGCTCCACTGTGAAATTGTTCTTTTTCTTTTTTTTTTTTTAATGAAATCTGAGTATCTCCTGCGATTTCATGATTCATCAAGTTGACAGTTTAAGAAAAAAAGATTACATAGACTATCATCCCCCCACCAAATGATCGCTCCAAAATCCAGGATTTGTATTTCTGATTTTTGTTACTTGATCACTAGATTTTTTTTCAGACCGTGTACTGTTTTACATCAACCAGAAAATAACTGCTTATGAGTACTTTCAAGGTATTAAAACTTGTTTTGTTTTTTAATTAGTGCAAGCAACTTTCTGATGTTTGTCACACTGCCAAACATGTTGCATTAAATAGACAGGGTTTGCTGCACACTTTGCAGATGTAGGAGACTAAAGCATCCCTGCTGTGACTGAACCAAAGGAGAGGTTTCACCTCAGTAAGGGAGAGCAAAGTTTACTTTGGGTTTCACACCTTCAGTGAAGGACAACTCACAGCTCTTCCTTTCTGGAAATTAATATTGCTTCTAGAAATGTCACAATATTGTTCTGCTCAGGTGAGGATTTAAGCAAAAGGAAGGAGGCCTATCCATATATGTAAAATTATCACTCAGTTAACTGCTTGGAGGGTCAGGCCCGTGTTTTTTAGTGAGTTGTCAAAATGTGTTACTGAATTTCCTTGATCTATAGTTAAATAAAAGGGACTCCTTAACATGAAGACTGCTGGCACCTCACAGGAAAAACCATTTGGTGCTGTGGAACCCTGTGAGGGAGTGGTGGCACGGCTCCTGGAGATTCCTGACAGGAGACCAGCCAGCCCTGCAGCCACTACAGGCTCACAAGTGCAGCTCAGTGTGCACTGCTGACACACTCATTTGCCAGCTATGCCCAGGAGGGGATCTCTGTGTTCTCCAGGATGCCAAAACAGAGATTAGCAGCATTAATCTCAGTGTAACAAGTGGGCTCATTTTCTCCAGCCCATAAATAACTCCAGCAATAATTCAGCCTCTTACTTTAACGTGAAAGCCAGTCGTACTCTCAAAGTCACAGTGGCTTTTAGGAAATACATTATTTTTACTGAGCACCACCAAAATCATAGCAGCCAGTGGCAACGAACGTACGTGCTCTTAACCTAGCTGCACTTTTTCTCAAAGAGATCACTAAATGTCTAAGAGGAATATCTCACGGTCATTAGCACAACACTCCTGCTTATGTCATCCCACTTACAGAACTCTGCTCCTCTCATCTGCACTGAAAATTCCTTTCTCTCCCAAGGAAAACTGCAAATTAATCTCTGTATGCTGTTGAAAAATTGATCTGCTGTTACTGAGAGGACAGAAAGGGGACCGCCCATGCAAACAGTTTATCAGTGCTTTCCATACGTGACAGGTTGTCCCTTCAGTGCACACACTGTCATTTTCTTATTCACTATGAGTGTGGCAACACGGTTAAGTTGAAACTAATTTAGTTACTGAAACATCATCCTGAATATTTGCACTTCGGATCTCTAGGAAGTTTTTACTGGACCGGTGGATGTAAGTGGTATTCATCCAAAACTTACCTGTTCAGTGGGAAACGTTGTTTTTGTTAAATTACCACTGTCAGTGCCAAAAATCCAGCTTCATTCATTCCTACGAGAGACTACTAGACTGTCCTTTACCAGTTTCGGTCTTAATGTATGTTTTCAGTTGATAAGGAGAAAAAAAAAACCACACAAGTACCACGTTTTTATTTGCACGGTGGGGACTCCCATGTGATATCAGCCTGGGCACTCTGAATCAGTGGTGGAAAATTCCCCGGGTTGTTTTGTAGGGAAACTGTAGCTGGTCAGTACACTTAAACAGAGGGGAAATGTATATTTTAAATTTTATTGCTGATGGTTACCTGTCCAGACCTATCACTTCACCCCTTCTTTTCAGTTACTTTCAAACCTCTTCGCAGAGTGCATGCAGAGACACACCCACTGGAATTCATACCTGTCATCAATGCTTTTCACACGTATTTCCCACATGAACAGATTTTCAGGTTAGCTTTGTGAGGGACCTCTGGAGATCATCCAAACTCCTCTGCCAGGGCTGGGTGACCTCGAGAACGTGACACGGGAAGCAGCTGTAAAAAACACCAATCACTTGGTTTTTAAAAATTGTTAAAAGTTTAATAATAATAAAATGGTTATAAAAATAGTAATACAATTAGAGTAATGAAGTTTAGAGTTAGGACAATTACAAGACAATAAAAACCGAAGAATTATGCATACATTCTATTCGAAACAAGAAACTGTCTGATGTATGTCAACTGTTTCCTTTAATCCCCTGGCATCTTCGAGTCTGAGCAAGGCCTGAAGAAATTAGTTTCTTCTGATAAGAAGCCTTAAATTCCTTTCCTTTGGAAGATTTAGGTGTCCCTTGAAAAAAAAATCTCATCCTAAAAAAAAAAAAAAAAAAAAAAAAAAAACAAAACCCATACAGAGTCTATTTTTTTTTTAAATACTGAAGTCTTCATTTTAACTACACAACTAATCAACGTAACATAATACATATAGTAAGTATCTGCATAAAGCCCTATAACATGCATTTTTCACAGCAGCCAGGTGAGTTTGGAATGTCTGGAGAGGAGACTCCACCACCTCCCTGCGGTTCCCCTCCGAAGCACTCCACAGACTCAAGAGGCTCCACAGCGCCGGGCGTGCAGAGCCATTTTTACCACCTCGATCATTACCACGCCGCGGCCTGGGCGGGTGGAGCACGACGGACGCCGTGAGGGGGCGAGGGGCCAGCCTGAGGGCGAGGGGCCAGCCTGAGGGGGCGAGGGGCCAGCCTGAGGGCGAGGGGCCAGCCTGAGGGGGCGAGGGGCCAGCCTGAGGGCAGGTTGGCGACGCGCGGATCCCCGCGGGGCGCGCCCCGCGCCGCGCCCGCCGCCGCCTCCCCTCAGGAAACCGGCTTTCCACGGGCGGGAAAGCGCGCGGGGCGCGCGAGGGAGCGCGGGGCGGGCTCGCGCCTCGCTGCCGCGGCACGTGCAGGGCCGGCCGCAGTTCCGGCCGGGCGGGCGCGCTCAGGAGGGGCGGGGCGGGCCCGCGCCTGCGCCCTCAGGCCGCGCGCCGGCCGCTCCCGGCACAGCGCGCGGCGTCCCCCTCAGCCGCCCCGGCCGCCCGGAGCTGCGGCTGCTCCTTCCTCCTTCCCCTTCTTCCTCCTCCTTCTCCTCTTCCCCTTCAGGAGCCGGCGGCGGGCGAGGAGAAGCGAGTGCCGCGGCCGGCATGTGAAGCGGGGCACCCCCTCAGCGCCGCTTGCCTCCGGTTCCTCCCCGGTTCTTCCTGGGGCTCCGCTCGCCATGAAGAAGTTTTCTCGCATGCCCAAGTCCGAGGGGAGCGGCGGCGGCGGCGGCGGGACGGCGTGCGGCGGCTCCGGGAGCGGCGTGGCCCTGGGCAGGGCGCTGGCGGTGGGGCGGTACCAGGTGACCCCCGAGGAGCCGCTTGCCGAAGGTAAGGACGGGCCGGCCCCGGGCCCTCCCGGCCCCCCGGAGTCGCTCGCCCGCGGGGAGCCGCTTGCGGGGCTTTGGGCTGCGCTGCTTCGGCCGCTCCCTGGCCCGGGGGCTGCTTAGGGCGCTCGGAGTTTCCCGGCTCGCTGCCTTGGGTGGGTGAGGCGGGGAAGGTCCCACCGGCGCCTCCGTCAGCCTGCGTCTTTTGCTTTTGCCCCCTGCTCTGGAATAAAAAAAAACAAAACACCCAAACAAACCCGACAGAATGAATTTCCTGGTCTTCCCCGGTGTAAGGCGGCATACTGGTGTCACGGTCACGAGTGGAAGTGCGGTGCTGGTAGGTTGTGGTACTGTAGAGCCTCCCCTCGCTGCAGGGTGTTCGGCTTGTGCTTCTTGTGGTGAACTTCATGTCGGACTTGCACTGGGACCGAAGGAAGAGTTGCGTGGATATTTGTAATCGTGGGGTTGGCTGGACTTTCTTAACTGTACTGCTTCACTAGGTGCTGGCATGGGACCCCCTCAGAAGAGCCATTTTTGAGTTTTGCACTGTGTGTGGGAAACAGTGCGGTGTTCGTGTCCCAGAGGTGGTAATTGATGTGATGTGTAAAGTGTAATTCGCCTCTCAGGTCACTGAGCTTAGGGCTAGTTCCGTAAATTTCACGGTTGCTGAATGTTTACAGTGCATGCTTGGGATGTTGTGGGTGAAATAATACATCTCTGTCGATTTCGTTTGTGTGTCGCTTAGACTATGCCTCAGTATATTTATGTGTAAAAGTGTGCCAGTTAACTTTCACCGATTATGTGCATTTCTTGGTGGAGATTTAAGACGTGGTTTTAACAAGTGCATTCAGATAATATTCCTAATTGGAATGGCGGCAAAAAAGTAGCACTTATATTTTCATTGCTGTCTAGGAATGACTGTCATAGTAAAGTGGATTTGGTACGCAATGTTTAGAATGCAGTGTTTTGTATTAAGGGTGTGAAGATGGTGACAGGAATTAGCCAACTGCATACCTGGTTGCCTGAAGTCTGGATGGTCCTTGCTGGGAACTACTTCCAAGTCACTGGAAGAAGGTCTGACAGAAGGTCATGTTGTGGCAGGGCTTAATGGCAAGATAGAGACTTTTTTAAAAAATAAAGACAATAGGCTCTTGAAGGAATTGAGGTGGTATCACAGAAAACATAAGTAGTGCAAAGGAGAGAAAATTTATAGTGCTTTGTTTAGTGTAGCACATCATTAAAAGTTTTCTCATGATGGTCTGTGTTTAGAGTCACTAGAGATAATGAGTTTTTTTCCTTTCTGTAGCTGGCAGAAACAAATTGACAGCCCTTGGGGCCAGGGGAAGTCCAGATTTTAACATGTGACTGTTGTGTGAACGAACTTCCTACTTTTGAGTCTGAAAGATGTTTTCTACTGCTTTTTCTTTTTTTTTTTTTTCCCTTCAGGTTTTATGCGGTCTCTTGAGTATGGATGCTTAGGACGAGAACTGATAAGGGTTGGGGCAGTGCCAATTTGCTGCATCCTGAGAAAAGTCTCCAAGTTACCCCTGGAGCGGGTCGGTAGGGAGGACCCAAAGGGGCCTGGAGGATAAGAAAACAACAGGTGGCACAAGGGCAGGGTTGGGGAAAGAGGGATGTGAGGGAGGAGGGGCCGGGCTCTCCCAGCTCCTCTGACTGTCAGGGAGCAGCTGGGCTGTAACAGGCTGTGTGTGTGCTGCAGGTGTGTGCCGGGGAGGAAGGGCCCTGTGACTGAGTGTCCAGGTGGCCCTTGGGTGCTCCTAACCCACACAAGGCTTTATGGGTCAGGAGAGGGCTTTTTGTCCGGGAATAACTCGTCAACAATCAATCCCTTGCCTCAGTAGCAATTAATAGTAAGAATTGTGTTACTGCTGTCACATTAGTCATTCTGCTACCTTATGCTGAACACTTCACAAATTCCCTACTTAATAATCTTTCTCTTGGGAGGGGAGAGGTGAAAATTTTTTTTTTTCTGTTCTCTTTGCACAAGGCATTTTTTAATTTCAGTTTCTGAAACTCAGTTTAACCGAGGCTTGTAAACTTGTCAGGTAGTTCGTATTACTCAGTGCTGATGAAACAGCATTTAAGATGCTAATATCCATCCAAGTTAGAGCTTGCATTATGAAGCATTAATGATAGATCCAGTTAATGAATCTAAAGATCTTAACAAATCTGTTCAAGAGGAAATACAGTGTTCTGTTAACAGAGGTGTAGTATATTGTATTGTTATTAGCTGTTAGAATGAATAGCACGAGATGTCTGTTTTGTGCAAGCTGTTTAACCCCCACCCTCTTTCTGGCTTTTGCTCTGAGCAGTCTTAGGAAGGCATCTCCTGTTGTGGTGTTGTGGAGGATTGAAGTTCCTGGGAACTGGAGGACTGGCAATAGTGATACCGAACAGCTGGGGTTGTCATGACCTTCCTGGGCTTCAGTGATGGATATTTGGGTAGATTTCTTGTGTTGATACAAGTGTTGCACTCCAGATGCTGTAGTCTTTGACAAAATGGTTTTATTGCAGTGTTCTAAAGGTAGAAGTGTAGAGCATTATAATGCAGTTGTTTTGAATAAAGTATAATTCTGTCTAAAGGAAATGCATCCTTTTGACTAAAGAGGGTGTAAAGTTGAAGAGCTGTAGCTATTAGGCTGTTAGATGTTTTATTTTGTTCTAAACACCTATTCTGTGATGACTTCTTGGCCTCCATAACCTACTGGTCAGTATGCTGTTGGATGGAGGTATGTGCTCTTTTTATTTCTCAGAGATGGGGGGAAAAGTAGTTAATTTGGTTTAAGGTTTGATGTAGAAAATTAATTCCTGTCCATTTTGAGGGCAAGACAGAAATATGTGGAATAAATTACTGATACAGAGTGAAGGCCTTGTCTTTCTGTCTTTTTGTTGAAGCAGAGTATTTGCAATGCAGCTCAAGTTTGGAAAGTGAAATATCATAAAAATATGGGGAGTTCTGTCTTGAAAGTTAGAGGTGGTGCATGGGGAACTGCAGTTATGGAAACTTCAATATTGAAAAAGACTTTACAGTTCAGAAGTTGCAGCAAACTGGAAGTGGCCAGATATGAATCATGCTTGAAAATTTATCTCAAATGTCAATGCAGAACAGTTTGTTGTGAAGAGTGAAAAGGAAAGTTTAAATTGGTAAGTTCTCAAAATATTTTTGTCTTATATGGGGAGGAGATGGAAAGTTGTGGCTTGATACAGTGATACTACATACTTAGTTGCTTAATAACTACATTAAAAGTGTTTTTTCTGCCTACTATAAAGGTAGGCTTTGCAAGATGCTAATTTCTCTTACTGTCTTGATTGCTTGGCCGGGTTTGAGATGTTGAAACTGAATAAATAAAGGCTTTGCCAGGTTCTAGGCTGTCTTTGTACCACGAGCAGACCAAAGAGGTTATGGGAAGTGTTGTAATGTTCTTATGTATGTTTTTAACAAGCGCAGATGAAGCTAGAAAGAGGCAATTACAGCTGTTAAAAAAAAAAAAGGGCAGCAGACTCTCCAGCTTCCTTCTCAAACTTGTCTGGCTAGGTTTGGAAGCTGATTTGTGGATGGGGAAAGATGCTCATCATCTGCTTTTTGTTTTCATTCAGAATTGGTTAATGGAGTTGTGGGGTATATGCCATTGCATCTTACCAAAATAAAACAGCGCTGTGTGGTGTTCCCCACACAGCAGCTCATGCCCTTGCCAGCCAGAGGATTGCTGAGGAGCATGGAGGTGGGATGCCAGGCACCTTGAAGGAGAAGTGGGTAGTTCTGTGTGCCCCTTGCTCTAAGAGGTACCCCGAGGGCATGCAAAGCAGCTTTTCGCTCTGGTCAGGAAAGAATGAACTTCACTGGTCTCTTGCTGTGACTTTGCTTTGCCCTAGTGTGTGTGGAAAGAAGTTGTGTAGTAGTGAGTACAGTGGTTTATTTTTATTGTCCTGGCTGATAGAGCGGTGAGTCCGGAGTTGTGTGGTGTTGAGCCTCTGCTGCTGTGGCTTAGGAGGCCTTGCTTTTCTAAGTGACCTTATGTCTAGGACTAGAGAGACAAGGAAAAGGCCACTCAAGAGGTGTAAAATTCATTTGTTAGGTACTTCATTAAGTACTTACAAGTTCATTCGTTCATGTTTGTGTAATAGAATGTTTGCTTTGTTCAGTAAATATGGTGGTTAAAGCACAATTTTCTTTGAAAAGGGGCCTCTCAATAGGGAAGGTAGCTTGAGTCCTTCTAGGTGGCGTGCAGAGAAACAACCAAATTCCCAGGAGGTTCAGTAACAAACTGGTCATTAACCTACAGAGGGTCAGTGGCTTTCTCCCCATCTACCCACTCTGGGGGTCAGCTTGACTTTCTCCCAGACAAAACCTTTTGACAGGTCTGGGTCAATGCAGGTTGTGGGTCAGTCAGTGCTGTTTTGGGGCAGGGAGGGGGTCAGTCAGCACCATTATAGTGTGGACCAGAGGCTGACAGAACCTCAGGGGGCCAGGGAAGGAGCAGTGCCTGCCTCACCTATGCAGAGCTCACCTTGTTACCCCACACACTTCCTGCCTGGTTATTTTGAGCCAGTCAACCATTCCTCCAGTCTCTTACACCACTGAAGGAATGAGCTTCTTGTGAGTTCTACTGTCCTACTTTAATTGTGTGTAGTCTTGCAAGTACTTGATAACTCTTATGATTTGGTTTGCCTTTTACATTCATACTGTTCTAGTCGAGGCCTAATAAAAATGTAACCGTAATTGAGAGGAATCCAAGTCCTCTTTTGTGAGCTCTTATGCTCTGTGTTTGTAGATAATTTATTTAAGTTATTTATTATTTAAGTTCTTCCAAACTGCTCTTGAAATTGGGGTAGTCTTGAACATTCTGTTTTGTTTTTTGTTTTTTCTAACTTATGTCTCATCAATAGCAGTTCAGTTTGTAATCCAAATAAACAAGCTTAGTGCTGTGCATAAGATTCTCTTGGCCTTTGACCTCTCATACCATCATTCTAGGTCCCCAGAGC